GGTGTGTTTCACGTAAGTGGAAAATTGACACTTTTTTCCTTTTAATTGAACTATTTTATTTTTAACTGAATTAACAATGATGTGTTGGTTTATATCTACCATCAAACTGTTTGTTTGCTATTTGAATTGCAGTTTGGAGTTTCATTTTTCTTCCATTTCTTTTTACAGATTAATCAATGTATTTCATTGTTCCGTGTATTTCAGTTAGATTAATTACATCAAAACTGTTTTTGTATGTTCACATTAGGGATTGCAATATGCATCCTCAATATATTACATTCTGATACAAATTATTATGTTCCACTTGCTCAATACACTAGTTCCTCAGAACCATTTACTTCTACTCATTCTCCTCCTGCTTTTTCATGACTGTTGTCAAATACAAACTTTTACTTATATTTTAGTTTGCATAGCTTATTTCTGTTACTGTTTTGTATTGTCATTTCTTATTTTACATTATTTACATATTTACTTTCTATTAAACTCCATTTCTTTCTGAATTTACGTGTTTTCTGAGTTCATTTTCACTCTGCTTTCAATATTTGTTTTATTAAAACTATGCTAAAAGCAAAATTTCTGGGGTTTTTCAGTAAGAAAACATATTTATTTTTCTACCATTATTAGAACTATGTTTTCAGTAGACATAAGCACTCTTAAACATTTTATTGTATATACTAAGGTGTACAATATATTGATATACATATATAGAGAGAGAAAGAATTACTACAGTCAACCATGTTAACATAGCCATGATCTCACATAGCCATATATGTATGTGTGTGTGTGTATAGTGGTAACAGCACCTAAAATCTTCTTTCTTAACATATTTCTAGTAGACAATAGTATTAACTATAGTTCTGTTCTGTACATTAGATCTCTAGACTTATTCATCCTACAGAATTGCAACTCTGTACTCTTTTTATCTATATCTCTCCATCTCCCCGCCCCCCACTCTGGTAACTACCGTTTTTTCTGTTTTTATGTACTCAACTTTTTGATATTGTCATTGCATATTGCAGTATCTTCATCCTTTTTGAGGCCTAATAATATTTCATCATATTTATAATGAGTTATGTGAATTTCTTACGTATTTTGGATATTAACCTTCTATCAGATATACGGTTCAAAAATATTTTCTCCCAATCCATAGATAGCCTTTTCATTTTCTTGGCTATTTCCTTTGCTGTGAAGAAACTTTTTATTTTGATGTAGTCCCACTTCCTTTTCTGCTTTTGTGGCCTTGTCTTTTGGTGTAATATCAAAAACAATCATTGCCAAAGCTAACATCAAGGAGCCTTTTCCCAGTGTTTTCCTCAAGGAATTTTATAGTTTCAAGTGTTATGTTTAGGTCTTTAATCCATTTTTAGTCTAATTTTGTTCTTTTATTCTTTTGTACATGAATATCCAGTCTTTTAACACCATGTGTTTTAAAGACTATGTATGTTCAAACAATAGAAGTAGAGGGAATACTTCCAATTTCATTCTATGATGCCAGCATCATCCTGATACCAAATCCAGACAAAACACCATGAGATAAGAAAATTGTATGTCAATATCTTTAAGGACTATAGTTGCAAAAATTTTCAATAAAAAGCAGCAAACTGAATTAAGCAGATATTTATCAAAAATATTAAACATTATGTCAAGTTGAATTCATCCCTAAGATGCAAGGTTGTTTTAATATATGTCAATCAATTAATGAGATACATCCTGTTAACAGAATGTAAAGATTAAGACCACATAATCATCTCAACAAATACATGAAAATAATTTGACAAAGGTCAATGGCCTTTCTTGAAAAAAGCTCTCAACAATGTAGGTATAGAAGGAAATTTCCTCAATGTAACAAAGATCATTTATAAAAAGTGTACAACTAACACCACAATGAATGGGGAAAAACTAAAAGTTTTTCCCCTAAGATCAGGAACAAGGCAAGGATGGCCAATCTCACAATTTCCATTCGACATAGTACTAGAAGTATTAGTAAGAACAAGCAGACAAGGAAAGAAATAAAGGGCATCCAAACAGGAGAGGAAGAAGTAAAATTTTTCTTATTTACAGATAGCCTGATCCCATAAGTAGAAAACTCTAAAGATTCTTCATATATACAGACAAAAACTCATTAAAACTAATAAATAAATATGGTAAAGTTGCAGGTTACAAAATCAACATACAAAAATCAATTACATTTCTTTGCACCATTAAGTGTGAATATATTGATTTGATTTTTTTCAGCCCTCTTAATATATTATTCAATTTAGTCTACTCCTGTCAAAAAATACAAAACAAAACAAACAGACAGAGAATAGTAAATATCATTGACAAAATGCATCCCACTTTACCTTTCTCCATTTCATAATCTTCCTTTGTTCTTCTCTTTCACCAAACTATTATCTCATTTCCAAAGACATCTTCTCTATCTTTGCCTTTGCACCTTCACTCACATTCCTTCCTTTACTTGATAAAACCTTTATCAACATCTCTTCCTGACAACTTAGTATCTGTATCTTTTTTTCCTGATAATATTGTTTATTTATTTATTTATTTAATTAATTAATTAATTTATTTATTGAGACAGAATCTCTCACTGTCACCCGGGCTGGAGTGCAATGGTGTGATCTTGGCTCACTACAACCTCCACTTCCCAGGTTCACGCAATTCTCCTGCCTCGGCCTCCCAAGTAGCTGGGATTACAGGTGCATACCACCTCACCTGACTAATGTTTTGTATTTTTAGTAGAGACAGGGTTTCACTATGTTGGCCAGACTGGTCTTGAACTTCTGACCTCATGATCCACCCACCTTGGCCTCCCAAAGTGCTAGGATTACAAGTGTGAGCCACCGCACCTGGCCAATATTGTCCTTTTATATATAGAATTCTCGTTTCCCTTTAAAAGTGAGTTGGGTGAAATGTCAATCAAGGTCATTGATCTCCTTTTCCCCAGAGATGATAACATAATCCAATCAAGTTCAAATAGATATTGTTGTCCTCATGGCATATAAATTGTGAGTTTAGTTGCCCAAAGAATGAGAATGATTATGCTTGATTCTCCCTGATGATGATACATTATAAAAATACTGTAATTGTCCTCATTACCTTGCTCTTCTCTACTTATTTTTATACTGATTCTTTTATATGTTACCTAGAAAAGTAAAAGGAATATATATTGCATTAGTGTGACTAAACATATTATTTAATTAAAGGCTAGATATAGCTGGAGTTTCTGTAAGAGAACAACCAAGAAGTTGGGTAGGGTTAAATCCATGACATTTGAAGAGTAGACAAAAGAAGACTTAGGATACCAAGATCAAAACCTAAAACTACTGTGTTCTAAAAAGGGATTCTCTTCTGCAAGTTTATGGAATTCATCCAAAGATAAAAGAAACAGTGATGGAATATAGAATTTTTAATAATTATACTTATTTATTTTGTCATGAAGACAAATGTAAGGTTTCTGAACATGAGGCAGACTATTATTGTTACTTACAACAATAACTGTATTGGCTCCCCATACTCCATTCTCTTCTTTAGGGTAATGTAATGAGAACCAGATGACTAGCCATGTGTTTATGAATGAGTATCTCCCATAGAAAAGGAACCAGAACATTATGAGTCTGGAGTTTATATAGAAACCGCTATAGGCCTACTCTCCTCCAATCATTAGAGTGGAAAAGGAAACTAATCTCCCCAATGTAAACAAATATTATTTGTAAAGAAAAATAAATATCTAACATATAACTCTTTAGAATATAGATGACCCTCCTCTGGTTTTATTAAATTTTAAAATGTAAACTTATGGTTTTGGGAGATGAGGAATCTCTACATATTTCCAGAGGTTTCTATTTATTCAATAGTCTGTTAAATTCAAAATCTTGTTCTTTAGCTGAGATGCCAGGTTTTTATGTTCAGAGAAATCCAACCATGCAGAAACATGAAAATGTTTTCTCTACAGTTGAGCGAAGAGTCACTGCTATCTTGCCACAAATAAAAAAATTAAATTTAGTTAGAGATTGGTTAAAGAGAGAATAGGTTGTCTTATGACATAATAAGTTATCTATTATAATACTCATTTAAACATAAGGTCAAGTTGACCATTTAGAAGAGGTGTTACAATGGGAATTAAGGCATTCAACAAGTCGTCAGACTAGATGACTGTATCATCCGGACATGGCAGGAAACAGATGGCACACTTAAAAAGGGATATAGAAAACAGCTTAATGAATGAATTTTTTTGTAAAGCATGGTATGGTGAAGGGAAGCTAAAAGAAGACAGTGGAGCATCCTGTGACTAGGAACAACAGGAACCATTACCACCGTAAAGTTGAAGATATAAGGGGAGTGAGTGATTGCCAAAACTCTGAGAGCAGAGTCCCTTCCTCTGTGGGAAGGGCCACAAAACAGGAACTAGGGCCTTCGATGAAGAATATAGCCATTGCAACCTCCTGTGGCCTGGTAGGTAGGATGCTGGGGAAACAAATATTTTGACATCTCTTTGATGTTACTTCTACTACCCAACCTCAGTCTTCTGCTGGTACCTTCCATTTGTCAAATCCAACAGGAAAATAGAATGCAAGAGAATCCAGTTGACACTAGCCACAGAGGTCATTCACTCAGTGCACACATCCTTATGGCAAGAAGGCATCTAATAAACCAGCAAATATCTAGCCCAGACACTTAAAAGTACCTGTGAACTTACATGAAACTCAGAAGTCTCTGCTTCTGTGAAACGCTTATCCTATTCAATTCTTTTAAGAAAAGTCACACAGCATGAAGGAAACACTTAAGGGCATAAATGAACAGTTCCTGTATAGAAACAGATAAGTTTAAGTCAGGCATTAAATAAAAATTGACATAACTTGATGTCAAGGGTTAAATGAACCTCCACTAATGGAGAAAACTAAGCTTTACTTGCTCCTGTGTTTTTTGACCCATGTACATTATCCTGAAATCATCAGGCTAGACCATGAGCCAATTTGCTTTCAAATCTTTTCTTCTTTCAGGCAGACACTGTAAGAGTCAAGGATCTGTACCATCTGGGCCAGATGAAAGGAGACCCAGTGCTGCGTGCCAACAGCATACTGATTACACTACGTTATGAAACATCTCACTCTTTCCCTGTGAGGCTTCACTGAAAAGACTTCACAGACAGTACCATATGTCAGTGAGAGCTGCAGTATCTAGTCAAGAGTTGGGAGAAGCAAGTGTTAAAGCTACCAATTCCTCGTGTTTTAGTTTCAAATCTGTACTCTACAAGTAATAGGGAGAGTTGAAATAAAAATGCTTTTATCTGTCACTTTTCGTATCATTTAAAATTTTGACCGGCAGTCGATAGTAATGGAATCAAGATATTCAAAGCAATTTTATGCTTCCTTCTGTCATAAATTAAAATGTTTCATTAACTAAACAAATTCTCAATGGCATAAATCAACCCACACTAAGTAAATCATAGTGAGAACCAAAGTGTAATTCCATAAAAGTGATTAAGTGCTGGCAAGATACAGTGATATATATCATCTGCAGTAGGGAGACTGATTATTCAGTATCTGTATGTTGTATTTTAGACTGGCTAATTTCCTACATGTTAGGTATTTTCCTTGGAAATATTTAAGGAAAAACTATATATCACATGAAAGTTTATATTTTGGTTTTATTTTGGAATGTTTCTTATCGGAGCCTCTTCATTAGAGTATACTTTGAAATACGGTTAATGGGTGCTTTATGAATTTGAAAACCTATACTGTAAAATATATTTACCCTAGGATGGAAATGACCTTGTCAGTAGAGTCAAATATTTCTAAAGTACAAGATTTATTCTTTCTGATGTTATGAACAATAGATTGCTTTCAATTATTCCTTTTAGAAACTCGTCTTTTGTCATCTGAATGAAGCATGGCAATTTTACAGATTGTATTTAATAGCTTTTAAGAAACATTGATGTAATTATTATATGGATATAAAACAGACAATCAAACAATTATAAACAACTTACTTGTGCAATGCTCTGAGGATGTTTAGTTCTGATGTACTCAGACAACCCCACCACAAAAGCTACTACAACAACCTCTAATCTTGCTTCCATGTTTAACATCAACATTCTATTCTTCACAGAACAATGAAAGCAATCAAGTAAAAAACGTGAATCAGGTCATAGTACTCACCAGCTCAAAACTTTCTAGTGATTTTCCATCAAAATTAACACGAGACACAGAATCTTCACAATTTCCCCAAGACCCTTCCTCATTTTGTCACTACCCCAGTCTCATGCTTTCCTACTGTTTCAGCTCATTGTGCTTCTTTTATGCAGTCTTCATTCCTGTTTTTCAAACCCATCAAAATGGCCCTCATAACCCTTACCAGCCTAACTCACAATTGATATGCTTCTTTCTCATAGATATTCACATTGCTATCTCCCCTGTCCCACTGCAATTTCTGTTGAAGTATCATCTTCTTAGACAGTTCTTAACCATTTTACCTAAATTATTAGCCTCCATCACACCTGATATCTGAATATCCTTACCAAGATTCTTCACTTTTATATGTTTTATGGGTAGTTTCATATATGTGTGTATGTATGTATATATGCGTGTATGTATATGTTTATGTATATGTACATGTATGCAGAATTATATATGATTTGTTTAGTATCTGTCTCCACTCTTGGGATACAAGTTCTATGTAAGCAGTTTTATTTATTCATGGCATAAATGGGGTCATTCACTTACCAAGAGTTCACTAAATTTTTATAAAATTAATACATATAAAACTTTGAATTACATATATTGACATGATAGTCAATTTTATTTGTTACATTTCAGTAGATGTCATTTGTAAGATAATATCACTAACTGGGAGTTAATGACAGTTGGATCTTTATTCTCGAATACATTATATAGCTCTGCCCTTATACCTGGACAAGTGAAGCTCCTGTTCCAAGACCCATGCCTCAATGGACTCTGTACTTCAGAGAGACTCCTTCAAAGTTTTCAAAAAATCATTTTAAGATCTGAGCTTGTGGCCAGCAATGCCAAGTAGTTGGAGTGCCCCAGGTTAAACCTAGGTGTACTGATGATTAGTACCCTTTGATGCTTGAGACTAGCCATCTAGGAAGCCCAGTCAGAAATCTGCATGGGCCCCAGTTACCTTCTCTTATCATTGGCTTGCTTTCTATCTCTTAACCAATCCCCAACCCCTACATGTGGCATTGACCCGATGCCTTAAGGAACCCTGCCACTGCTGCTTATGAGGCTGTCCCAGGGCCTTGTTGTTAGGTCCTATTTCTGTGAGGATGGAAGCAAGAAGTACTACTTTTGTAGAAATGTGTAGAACTGAACTGCCATAATATTGTGGATCCACTCTCCTTTGGTCACTTTCTCATTTTAGGCTCAGAACATATTCAGAGATAAGAGATACCAACATGTGACTGCCAACCTTTGAGATTGAGCTGCTGTGTGGGCTGTTGGGTTGGCTCTCAGATCTCTGTGTTCCAGATGTAGTGGTACATCCACACTTATATTTTAGAGTAGTAGAGGTGACAGCAGGCATAATTTGTCCTGTAATTCTAGTACCAGGGCATCACCTTTCCCCCTTCACAAACACCTCCCTCCTCTAAAACTTCTGAGACCTTTGCTTCATCATACAACATAGGTTTTATTTATTTATTTATTTATTTATTTATTTATTTATTTATATATTGTAGTTCTTTTTTGCCTTAGGCCAAGGTGACGACATCATGATCTCCTAGGTTGGTCTTAAGCCATGCTGGATGAGGGATGGATACTTTTTGCTTGGATTTTACCACTCTTCTCACTCTGCCTATGGGCTCCTTGCCTATGTTGACTGCAGTTTATGGGAGACAGGTACAGTCAAGGTTGGAAGTGATCACATTCTAGCAATGCAGTCATCATCAGGAATAATTCACCCGAAGAATGAATTCAAGAAATGACAAAGTTGAAAAATGTTTTAGTTTAACTTTATTCTATAATGTCCAGAGCAGCGAATTCATATGATTAACAAATGCACTGTCTTTCACATTTTCCTGCATTGTCTGTGAAATATTTGCCTTTGTGGTCATGAGTAAAGCATAGAAACAACTTTTGAAAGACTCATTGGAACCCGGTAGTTACTCATGTTACAAGGAACGATGCAAAGTCATGAGTAATGATGTAGCCATCATTAAGTAAAAGGATTTAGTGAACTTCAGAGTTAGAGTACTGAAGAAGACCTATGGATTGAGAAAATTCATGGAGCATTGTGGTGAAGGCAGTAGTTCTGAAAAAGCTACTGGAGATAAGACAGGTGCTAAAGCTGAACCAGCTGATGGGTATGAACCACTATTCCAAGAATCTGGTTAAAATTCAGTCTTTTAGTCATGATAAATTAAAATTATCTTTGTGATAAAAATCCATGTTGTTTTAATAGAGATGGATTCCAAAGAGTCATGGATTGTGAACATTAACAACTTTGCTACAATTTTCTCATGGTGGGATATATGAACTTAGCTAGAAATAGCATATTTGATTATAAAGCACATGGATACATGATCTCTTGATATCAAAGGGAAGAGATGATAACTTGGCCCTGCAAAGTATTGTTTCAGGTTCACTGTTTGGACACCAAATAAGTATGTGCATACCTCATCTTTTACTCAAAATTCTAAGTCTGTTAGTATGCTTCATGTAGGCTAATGGATTTAATAATGTGTTTTTAAATCATTTTGTTTGTATAGACAAGGTCCTTTAAGTATTTGCAGGGTCCCCTAAACTGTAGGGACATCCTTGGTGCTAAACTCTGCCTTTAAAATAAAAATAGACCTGCTAAGCCCTGTATCCCTTTTTAATGATAAGATGTACAAGGTGCAATAACTTGATCTTTACCTTAAAGGGTAAGTGCAAGACACTGGGACTCTATAAATTTCACCAATGTATCAGGGCCCTAAAAATTTGTAGGATTTTTTTTTCTTAAACTCGGGCAAGATGTGTCTTACACGAGTATTAGGTTTACTTGCCACTTACTTTTCATAGGTATTATTAGAATTATGATATCAATATACTGCGCCAACATGATCTTCTGCAGATGTCAAAACCCTCATGCTCACTGCGTATCATATTGTGATAAGGAGTGGGAGAGTTAATATAGCTCTGGAAACCATGAATATATATTATTATATTTTCTAAAAGGACAATAGGTTTTTATTCACTTCATTGCTGGTGACTGAAAAAAAAATTCAAATCAATGACCATATAATAAATGTAAAAGGATATTTTGAAATTTTCCAATAAATACATGATATCATACACAGCAATGGGAATTGGTGCTACAGCCTGGTTATGTTTACAACAGTGCATTGACCTCTACCATAATCCAATTTGTTTTTGCAGAAACTATACAAACCAATTGAAGAGAAATATGAAGTATCCTATTATTCCTGCAATCTAAAAACTTGGAATGTAACCCTAATCTCTACAATTTTACCAAAAATGTGATATTGCTTCTGACAAAGTCTCCTGACTAGTGTGTGTGTGTGTGTGTGTGTGTGTGTGTCTGTGTGTTTGTGTAGGTGGATGAGGAGTTGGTGAAGCTGGTTCAAGGACTTTCATTTTACACTTCCTACAATAATGGACATTCTTTCATAGGTCAGAGAACCAAACGTGAGGGTTCCATCACCATTTATCTATAACCATTCCAATTATACAGTCAGGGATCAGAGAAAATACCATAAGGTGTGTGCATAGATGCTTTTTGGCTCACTGTAAGATGGATGTGAGTCAGGACTCCATCTATATCCTGTATTCCATAATACCCCACCCTAATAAACTAGTCATAATGATATTTTAAAGCCCATGACATAAGTAATAGTTTAAACCATGATTCTAACAACCTTCAAATTATCTCAGTCTTTTCTTTTCACTGATTTTCTTTTATTCTCATAAATGACTACAGGTCCCTTTGGGAAAGAGTTCAAGGAATATTTATTTTATATATTTTTAGTGATAGTCCAAGACTTTTAAAAGACATATTAGCATACATAATCAATGAATTACGAAACTCACAGGCATACAAAGGGGTTAAAAGCTGCTGCTTTGTTACTGTGGCAACAGATATAAGCCTTTGTCCACAAGCCCTTGATTTTTCTTTTTTCTGGTCATGCAGGTCAAAACGTATCATTGTTGATTGCACATCCAATGTTTCCCTAAGAACATCATGGTCTCTGCTCAACTTCATAGGTTCTGGCAGGTCACATGTCCAACGGTTACCTATTTACTGTTGCTGTCTATAATGGTAATTAAATATACCTTGAGGCTGATTGATAATTGCTGCCCCCTAGCCCTCAAGAGGCCAGAATTTTATAATCTCCATTGATCTAAGGGTCCTAGTTCCATGCAAAAATCTCTTGTCAATCCTGGACTCTGAGAACAGTCACCATGGAGCTACTCAAGAATGCTGATGCCCCCATAAATATTTTCCTTAGCGAAGAGAAGGCTTTCTTTTCTCTTCGCAGGACAATCTGACAGATTATCTGGTCATACATGATAAATATGTTTATATTTGTGTGCCTTCTGACCCATTCTTCAGTACACTGTAAGTACAATCCGACATGTCTATTTAGTTACTGTACTCTGTCATCATGTTCAAACTTTAAAGAGCAACCCAAGCAAAGTTTTAGAATTGGCTCCTGATTTATTTGGCAGGGCATTAAATTCTAAGGCACAAGATGAGATTTATCTCATGTTAATAATTCTTCGCTATCCAGGCTCATATTCTACCCACATCCTCCATTTCAATATTCTCAAAATCCAAACTTACCCATATTTCACTGTTTCTGCTATTACTTATTAACTAGCTGCTACATCTCTTTTTTTTCCATGTGTGCCCCATTCAGACTATGCAGAAAGCTAATATTGCTTATTATCTAGAGGCAATGTGAGAAGTCAGGAGGGGACATTTTGAAGAAAAAGCATTATTTCCAAAAGAAATCTCCATATGTGATTTTTTTGCGTAGTCTTCAGGCAGAGATATCTCCCCTCTAGGAAAAGTGAGATTACTTCCACTAGTAATCCAAGTACTGTTCAGCAGAATCCGTTTTCAGGCATATGCACCCAAATGATCCCATCCCTGTTTTCAGGGTTAACATTCTTCCCCATCAAGTCATGATTTTCTGAAATAGGAATCCTATCAAGGCAATAAATTTGGCTTCCTTTGTAATTTTGCCACCTTTCAAATTAAATTCTTGCTAGATTATCAACACAGTCTTCACTGTAGCTGATGAAGAGATGAAGATCTCTTTAAAACACTGTCCTGCAGTCCTGTAGTCCTTCACATTTTCACAGCATGCACATAATATGGGAATGGCTAACTTGGACCTCTTAGCTTGTGTTAAAGAAGGTTTTTAACCATTTTAATAGCCATTAGCAAATCTGAACCACTGACATTCTTTATATTATCATCTTCCCATTGCCTTCAAATGCTGCAGAGCTTCACACAAGTCCATTTCTTCTATTCTTTCACATCTCCTAAT